TCCATTTTTACTTGTGATTGCTCAATATTCTCATCTTAACCCTGCAAATAAACCCAATCATCCTTTACTCAACTGCAACAATATATTTGTTGCCCTCTTGGCGAATGATGGTGCTGCGAAATTTCTCAAGGTGGATATGCTCACCCAGCAAAACCATGTACGAATTAAATTACTAGTATTTTTGTTATTTGGTCTATAATGTAATCGGATTGTCGCACAAGTACTCTCTGCCAATTAAATTAAACGAGCTTAAGACCACAGGTTATTGTATCTCACTGTCTCTCAGGTATTGTTTTTGAATGTTAGAGGAAACACAATGGTGTTTATATTGTTAGGTGGAAATAATACTAGTAATTCAGTCATAAACCATAGTACGACTCACGTCCAAACGTCAAATTCTTCAACTCTCTTCTCAAGGACTTTTTTTCAGATCTGTCCCAGTATACATTGAGAATGTTAGTTAAAATAACTCAATACATTTTATGCCCACCTAAACTATGCTCATTTGTCAACCAAGATCAGTCCAATGTGTTGCCGACTGGTCACCCAGACGAGTGTTTGCCACGATCGGCATTCACTCCGCCGCTGATGTAGGCCTGAACCATGCCGCCGACCAAGTGCCGAGGTAACCGGCAGCGCACCTCAGGCCGACCCTTTTCAAATGACTGGGGGCCAGTAAAGTGTACTGCTGACTACATGCGAGCCATTCGCCAATGGTCGGCATTCGGCCAAGGTTGCTTGGGTGCTTTGTCTTCGGCACTTTCCTGCCCCTTCGTGCTTCCATCTGAGCGTTGCCTTGCTCTTCGCCGAATACCTCCAAAGACGTCTTTCCCGCACTCGTATCTGCTCTCCGTAAACATTCCCACACCTCACTAGTAACACTGTGAGACTTACTGTTGTCTTACTGTTGTCTTACTGTTGTCTTACTGTGTGTCTTACTGTTAGACTAGACTTTTTTCTTAGACTACTTAGGGCTCCTTACAGAGGTTTTGAAATGTTTTGTTAACAGTAGTATGTGTTGTGTGTGTTATGGTATGGAAATCGAGGCTAGCTCACCGCCTTTGCCGGCTCTTTCTCCGTTCTCATGTCCTGACATGACTCTCCCCTGCTCCTTAGTCTACCGCGCTGGGAGGGTGGGGAGTGATGTTTAACCCCTCTCACCCGATAGCGGATGTCAACTATGGCACCATGCCAAAAGTCTCTCAGGACGTCTTGCACGCGCGCATCGGGAGAGAGAGAAAATTGCTCTGAGATGACATGGGGTAAGCACGTATTTCTTTTCCGTCCGTCGGCTCCCTTTGTTTGGGGCTCGTTCGGACTTCACCAACGGCGCCTTGTGCACGCTGCGAACGCTTACCTTTTGTCGCCCCTTTCAAACGCTAGGCTGAAGAGCAGTGCAGTGTCCTAGTGCGTGATGAGGCTACGTTGACCTGTACCTCTCAGAAGCCAACGCGAGCGTCTTTGTCCTCACTCGAGCAACCGAGCCCTCTGTCCCGGTGTCCTCTGAATAACCTTTGCCCACGGAGACGTGCTTGTGGCACTGTGTGTAGTACTTTTCGCCCGGGGTGTGAATAAACCCGTTTGCTTTCCCACCGCCCCTGTTGCAATGGGCTCTGTACTGCCTTTTGGTGTTGCCGCAGACAATAAAGTGTTGCGACCTTGAGCAGTACCATGTTCTCGCCACGACGACGATTAACGCGTGCCCTGCGACTCGCTAAGACTAGACCCACGCTAGTGGCCGTACTCCATCGAAATACGTATACACTACACTGGCACCCAACGGGGTATCAAAAGCTCAAAGCTTTTGACTGCTCTTAGTGAGTCAGTTTGCCTGCGCAATTCGGGCTCGTCGCAACATACCTGCTTCGTGGCATTTTGTCCACTGACCTCTTAGGCAAATGCCTGAAGGTGATGTCCACATCAGGTACCGTGCACAGCAAAAGTTTGCGGATTGTGCAGCACCAAGCGCAAATGGTGGAAAACTGCATTTATGCGTCGCCTACTGTGCTGTGGCATTGTGTCGAGGATACCATACAGGGATGGCGCATTTAGACAATGCGCCTCTGCTGGATTGAATCTGAGAAGCTGTGGCCGATAACCTCAACACTATGGTGCACGTCACATTAGGTGGTGCAGCATAGCAGTTTTTCGCCGCACGCTGCACATCCTGTAAATTTTTGCTGTTGACAGTACGTTCGCAACGTCATCCTCATCACAGACGCACTTGGATGTTTCCACAAGATCGTATTCATGAAGAAAGTCGTTCAGAGCTGACGCATGTTCGTTAGGTGCTGACCACAACTCTGTCACCCCATTCGTCATCAGGCATTTCACAGGCCTCTGCTGGTATCGCTTCCTCGTTGCCTCTTTTTTCTCATGTCCTCGTCAAAAGAAGCTGCCTTTTTGAAACTGTTTTGCATCATTGAGGTGCAGTAGGGGTCTCTTCTGTGCATGCCGTAGCCAGATTCAATTAATATGGTTGCACTGGAGCAAAGCAGTTTATTTTACTATAGAAAGCATACAATATTGGACAGTGCCATCGCTGTTTATTGTTATATCCAGTATTGGTATTAGTGTTTTTCGCTTTTTCAAGAACTGCCTGAGGGATTATGCGGTAAAAGCAGTGGTGCACCTCTTGAGAGTTTAAAAAACATTGCGAGCACATGAGGAAAGAAGGTCACGTTAGGATGGGCGCTGTCCTCGTGTCACTTTTCTTCATTCTATGTTGTAGCTGTTTTTACAACATTAAAACATTTTAGTTATGTACTAACTTGGCCACCTTTCTCTGCTTATACAGGGCGCATCTTGTGGCACGTGATACTGTATGTACATGGTTGTACACTGACTGAAATGTAAGTCAATCTCAGTAAAAGTGCACGGCAAAAAGAGAAAAATAACTAGCTCACTACATAATCTTCTATTTATTTTTTTTTGCACACTGTGAAATCATCAATGTGCCAAGGTAGCTTGGAAGCAGTACCGTATAAACCAGACTATAGGTCGAGTGGGAATATAGGTCAACCCTCCAAGTTCAGGTTACCGAAAAAGAAAAAAAAAGGGAAAACAACACAAAGCTGCGGAACCACATTTATTCGCAAAGTGGGCGCACCGTACTCGATCGTCGGAGCTCCACTCAACCACCATTGCAACTGGATCCTATTCATCCGACGAAGCACCACTGTCTTCCGAAGACGAGAGTTTGTCACTTGCTGCCTCCCACAGTGCGCTGCCCTCCGTGCCATACAGCGAGTTGCTGAAGCAACATTTCTTGAAAGCCTTTTCCACCATGGATTCTGGCAAGGAACGCCAGGTGGAAAGCACCCAGCCACAAACAGTCGCAAGCGGAGGCCTCTGTAGGCGTCCCGTCGGTGTCTGGGTTGTCACCGAACATTCACTCTTGGTACTCCAGCCGCACTCGGTCTTTGAACGGCTTGTTCAGCGCAACGTCGAGCGGCTGGAGGGTGGACGTCATACCACCTGGTATCACGGCGAGGTCCCTTTTCCTGTCACCGAGTGTGCGTTTCACAGCGTCGGTTAAGTGACCACGAAACGCATCCAACACCAGCATGCTGCAAAGACGCAGCAGTACACTTGCTCGACAGTTCCACACTACTCTTATCCATTTGAGCATCATGCCCTTGTCCATGTATCCCTTTTTGTTAATGCGAACGACAACACCGGGCACGAACACTTCCTTCAACATTGTCTTGCGTTTGAAAATGATGAAGGGCGGAAGCTTTCTACCATGTGCCGTGCATGCCAGCATGACGGTAAAGTGCGAGTGCGAGTTGCTGGTGGACAACAACTTCACATCCTTGGCGCCGCGCTGCGTGATTGTGGTCGACGAAGACATGTCAAACCACACGGGGGTCCCATCGGCGTTGCCAATCTGCTCCATCATGTAGTCGTTCTGCTCCCGAAGCCGGTTCACGAAGTGCTGAAAGTTATAAGCTTGTCGTCGAACTTCTCGGGCAACTTCTGACAGATGGATGTGCTCCGCCGAAGAGAAAATCCTTTGCATCGCATAAATCGACGCACCCAAGAGTTTGGTGCACGAAACTCCTCTCTCGTGAGCCTAGCTTCTCGAGCGAGTTCCACGGATTTCTTGCAAATGGTATCAAGGACAGCAAGGGAACTATGGAAAGCAACTCACATCAAAAAGAAGGGGTCCACCTGTGTCAGTGATACATCGTTTGTAGTTTGTACTCTGTGGATGACCAGAGGTATCTTTTTTTAATAGACATTTTACGTAATTACAGGCTTGACGTCACTCTATCATATTCCACTGTGCGTGTTCGAAAGTTTTCTTGATTCTACTGTTGATAAACAGTTGGTAGTATGGTGCATCTCTATCTCTTTTCTCTGTCCTTTCTTCTAGTTTCTTGAAGAAAACTATTCTGGAGGAGGGCTTGTTGTTCGGTTCGAAGACACTAATGCAATGATATGAAGATGCACAGCACAGATTCTTTTAACAACTTATTATGGTAGGTCAGTGTGAAATGGAACACACGTCGGTGTTACCTTCAACCCAAATTAATGAACTATTTTGGTCACTGAACCCAACTAAATAAAGTTTTTCCTAAAATAACTGGCTAAAGGAGTGATTATTTCTTCCTATTTTGGATGTACGTGTTTGTCTTAGAGTGTGCATTTTGCTTTCAAAGATCTACTGAAGGTGTGCTACTCATGACCATAGTTTTCGTTTGATGAGCCTGCACACTGTGCCCATACATGGAACAATGGACTCAGGAGCGCATTTACATTCCAGGTGATGCTACGGATAACAGTGGTTGGTTTTATGATTTTGCAGCATCTGCTTGCAGCACAATCACTCCATTCTGAAATCTGGACTTTATGTGCAAGCAGGAAAATTAAGGGAGACAGGATAGAGTATGGACTGCGTTAGTGTAAGGTGTGTCTTGCAGCAATGCAAGAGAATAGATATGTAAGAAAGGACCTCTCTGAGTAGTAACAGTGATGGAGTTTCCTTCTCTGTTCAGGTTAACATGAGCCGCAGCCGTCACATTGGTGTAGACAATGGTCGAGCTTTGATCCGTTTCTCGGCACTATGTGACGTTGGCTCGGCATCATTCAAGTATGACATGAGACGCCTGACGGAAATTCTGGCCTTCCCTAAAGCCTGGTATCGACGCAGCATTGCTCGTCGCATGTTCCTGGGAGATCCAACCACTGCAGGTTCGGCTTTTGGTGACCAAGGTGAGCAAGCCGCCGAGCCACTCTCGCTATTGACCTCATTGCTCTCTCCCCAGCTGAGGACTCAGCTGAGACTAGCAGCAGCAGTGGCACTCTGTCCCCGAGCCGGGCCGATTCATTCCCCTTTGGAAGTTTGGAACTTGGTTCTCCCGAAGAGGAAGCGGGTAAGTGATGCCTCAGGGAGGGCTTGAACATGCAGGCAAATAAAAGATGGACTAGCTGGTTCAGGTTAAAGACTCTGAAGCGGTGTTGCATTTGCAAATTTATTGCTAATTCGGTATCTGAGACCTCTTACAACATGTCTACCAAGACTTTTGGCAATGTTCGATTAAAAACAGCGCTATAAGTGAGCCAACTTTGACCGAAAAAATCTTGCCATTAGACCTCTCTCCTTTTCTGGTTAGAGATTTTTGCCATCCAACATTCACTTGTGTTTGTGCGGGTTTGATGTGGACTCGTGATGCCGAATTACAGCGTGATATGTGGCTGCCGCAGCACTTTCAATCACGATGAGGTCACTTTTCACAAGTTTTTTCAGGATCAGATGGCTGCAAAATGGATCACTGCAGGTAAAATTAAAGATTTCAAGCATACGAGATAAAATGTGCTGTGCTCCAAGCACTTCTATGACAGCGACTACGTACAAAGCCCGGCTCTCATGCAGTCACTGGTGTTGACAATCAAGTGCACGTGTGTGTGACAGTGTTTCCACACCTGAGGCCACCACCATGGCTAGCCTTTGCGAAAAGAAAAAAATTAGGCGAAGCTGTAAGACTGCTGATGTGCCATAGCAGCGCGTAGTTGGTTGATAAGCACAGGCTTACGACAGCCGTGCTCAGCTCACTGTGCTGCCTCGCTTTCGCGACGTCCACTGTGAGTTTCAGTCGACTCTTGTTAATTGAAGCTCGAAGGAACCTCTGAATTTTGTTTGAATTATCGGAAAGTATCGCAATTATCACAAGATAGATGACTCTGGTTGAGGTTACACCACACATTATGTTTAGGCATTGATTTTATCACATTTAAAAATTTTGTATGTGTTTTTAAGCCCTAACCTCATGCACTGAACAGAAAGCAGAAATGTAAAGTCCACAAGTTTATTGGCCATATACTGCTGATCAGACCTTTTAAAGAAGTCGTGAATTCCCAACTGCTTCATTGCTATAGGTATGTGCCTACAGCTCAAAGCTCTCTATACTACCGTATTTACTTGCATAATCCTCAATTTTTTTTATTTTTTTTTTCGGAAAACCGATGCAAAGTTAGGGGGTGCGAGAGTAACGCGGGGAAACTTTCTGCAAAAACGTACAGGGCGAAAAAGAATACAAAGTGGCCACAAATTGAGATTCTCGCGCCAGTAACCAGCTGCAAGCTTTCAGAAGTACTAATTACTTACCTTAACAATAAAACCACAGGTTCAACACAAGGCAAGATTTAATTCAGAAAGAAAAGGCGCAAGCAAATAATCGAGAATTAGAACACCGTACGCAAAGCTTGCGGGTGTAGTGTTAGCGTTCGTCACTGAACCAGAGCCGGCAAAAGGTTAGCGTATGATGTCAGCATTGGGCTAATGGCCATTTAACACAGAGTCGTATGCAGTTGCCTTCTGACAAAATAAAGTTTACCAGCCATCCCAGTCTTGGGCACATGGAAGGCTCAACGCGCCTTTGTGGCTTTCAGTTGCTGTCGCCAGTAGCGAACACAAAACTCGTTGACTCCGAAGGGCCTACCGGTGGCCCTTTTGCCGTTGTTTAGTGCATGATCAATCACTTTCAACTTGAAAGCAGCTGTGTAGCTTCTGTATTGCCCTATAGCATCACAAAATTACGGATACAATGTACAAAACATGCTGCAATGCGCATTTGCCACTTTGACTTGGCTAGCATTGAATTGAAGTTTTGTGGAATGATAGTATGCTTGATGCTTAAGAGGTGGTACCAGATGGCGTGCGCTATCATCATCAGTGGCTGGAACGAGCAGACGACATTACTGTGGAAATTTTCGGGAGTGCGATAATTACTCGCGGCAAAGAATAAATCATACTTTTGTGGGGCAACACGGGGGGTGCAAGAATTATGCGAGTGCGAGAATCACGGTAGTTGAGAAGCATCATGGTTTACCATGGATGTGCTTCGTTTCAAACAATTGTCTACTTGCAAAGGCTTTTTTTTTAAGGTCTCAGGTGCTTATTTTTCATTTTCAGATTGTTATGATTACATAAGCACACAGAGTTTTTAAATAGTAGTGGTAAAGAAGCAGATATTTTCTGTTATGGACCTGCAAAAGGTATGAATTAACCGAATGATGGACTTTGAATTAAGAGACTTTCAAATACACGGAAAGAATAGAGGGCCAACCAAAAAATTGAATTTTGTTTGCATTAACTGAAAGTCTTAATTATCAAAGTTTGAGTTATCGTGAGTCTACTGTATATTGAAATGTAGGTAATGGTATTTTTTGTCTCACTGCACAGAAAAAAATGTGGGACTGCAAAACAATATCCCAAAATGAATGTTCAGACACGTCTTGCTTTGCATGTACTGTCCTAGCTTTTTCCCCATTTAGACGCAGTGCGTACATGAGTGCACCTATGGCGAAAACACGTACACAGATATCAGTATGCAACATCGAAATCAGGCACTCTACATGACAGTCGCATGATTTCAACGCAGCTAATATACCACCCGCATTTTAACACACCATCACACTACTAGCAATGGCCGGAATTTTAAAAAAGGCAACAGTATTGTAAACATAACTGTAATATATGAGCCCAACTATTCATGCGCAAGCTTTCAGCGCAGTTCAGAGTACATGTCACCACATCATCAAAGAGCGGTACTCGTGTGGCTTTTTTTTTTCTTTTTTCCTTTTTCTCTCTTGGCAGCACTCTGACTCATTGCTAGCTTCATGCCCGCTGTGAAGGGTAATACTGACTTCATCAATAACGCTGTACTCTGAGCGATGAAATCCACAAACAGTCAATGTTTCCACACGATGCGTGCGTGTGATTGTGTTTTTACGAGCTAAAAGGGAGGGCCAATGCTGGGGTTCTATATTGAATTTAATATCCAAGGTTAAGCATATCATTTGTGTCAGTTCGCTACAGTGAAATTAACCACTGATATGCATCGTATACGTACCAGCTTATGTTTCGGACGTAGGGGAAGGTGGCTAATTGGGAATCTCTTTCCTCGCCGCATCACCGGTGCTCACACCATCTTCGATCGTCACTGTTACAGTCGCGACTGGCTCAAACATGTATGGATGTACAGCGAACTTCTTACAACTTCCACAGTTCGCCATACTAAAAGCAACTTCTCGATTTCAACAAGTAAACATGGCATCACCTTCCGTCGAGCGCAGTCAGCTGTCCTTGCCGTCCCAAACATGGTGTCATGAAGCTTTGACCAATCACAGGCGGCAGTGAGACTCACAATGCTGGCTGAGGCACCTGTCGCTAGTTTTTGGCAAAAAAAAAAAAGTTACTATTTGCGTTGGGTTATGCAACTTTTCGACTTAATTTTCAAGTTCACCGCACAAAATTTTGTATCATGACACCGTAACCTCGTTTTTTTTTAAGTGTGCTTCAGTGTCCCTTCAAGCTGTAGGCGCCTAAAAATTTTTTTATTTTATTTATTTTGTTTATTTTATTTCAACTTTATTTCAGACAAAGACAAATAATGTGTACATTTGTCATGTCTATGAGGTGTGACAAAAAGGCTTCAGTGCCTTACTGAGTGTAACATCCCTTTCTAGACACACATAACTCAAACATCAGTCAGTTAAACAACCAAAATAAGCGATACTATGTGCCATCATTCATTACAGTGCTTAAGGGGCAATAAAGACTATTTTTGCTATTTATAGGCATAAAATTATGTAATATGGCATGCAGATGTGATTTCGTATGCTTACATCAAAATTAAAATCACTTTCGAGCTATTTTTTGTGGTTCTGAGTTGCAACTCTTGAAAGGCGGTCATTATCCTCCCAAAGTTTTTTATTCAATACATTCATTTCTGGAGATTTTTACACAATCATGTTGTCAAAGACCTATTCTGTGCCATAAGACTAGTGGTTTATTTTTAACTTTCTATGTAAACAAAAATATATTGAAGGGTCTTGTATATTTTGTCTTAATTAAAAGTTTTACAGAAGACCAATTATAAAAATTTGTACTATGTGCAGACCAATAACAGCCTTACACTACTGACTAAAGATTTAGTATCCAATTGCGAAAAGCTGCATGATTTTATTTGGACTTGTTATGAAATCGCACACGAATGACTTACACCAACTGGAATAAAGAAAATTAAGAATAGAATATGAAATAAAATGGACCTGAAAGCTAGAAAAACAGAGCATACATGGTCTTGCTTTTTATGGCAGGTTTGCAGCTGTCCAGACCTCTTATCTTTCCTTTTGACAATGATGCCAAAATTGGAGGAGCCTTGAGGAGCCTCAAGATTTTCTCATTTGTGTTAATTTTGCTAGCTATAAAGACCACCTGCACCATGGTCGTCATCAGCATGCTAGACGAGATGAGCCGAAGGCATGCTTTGTGTTGGGAGCTGATGAATTCAATGGAAATATTGGCTGCTATCAGACTATTCCAATTTTCAGCGATGCTTATCAATATTCAGCACCCTTCTCATTACAGGTGCATGGTTATTGATAGCCCAATAAATAGCCCTTTCCCACTGTGAAGAACAGTGGTTCTACAATTTTCTGACCTTGTTCTATCGCATGCAGACCATCTATTAAGTCTTTTTTGCCTCGGTATGCTGGTGTCCTGTAAAAAAGCACACATGCTCAAATTGCAAAGATGTCACTAGTACATATTATTATAGCATGTAGCACACTTTGCTCCTTTATTATTCACGCATTCACATTCATTAATGTTACGAGTACTAGTATGATCATTGATGCCAACATAAAGTCAGCCAATTATTCGAAGGTGTCTATGAAAATTCTGCAGCCCTGAAGCAAAAAATAAAGACATACGCCAGCTTTCTTTTTTTTTTTTTTTTCGCTTTACGAATCTCATGAAATTCATGGTCACCAGGTTTTCATTAGCATTTATAGCACCTGTGAATTGATTTGATGGCAAATGGTGATGTGAAGTTGTTCACTGTTTGCACAGTGGTGTGGTTCAACACACTGCTTTTGTTGAAGTAGCAGAATCCATATTCTTCATTTTCTCTTCTAAATGCAACCTCTATTTGTTATACTGCTACATATTCTGGATTTGGTGCTTAGAATTGTCGGGTCTCGGCGAGGCGAACGAGCGCATCGCCACGCCACACTCTTGGAGTGAATGGACAGAGCAGACGCGGTCGGTACAAAGCACACAACATACATACATTTATTAACTATTTAGGCGACGATATCGTCCGCCGAATGATACATCAATTTTAACTAACACGCTACCATACAAACAACATAACGCAGTGACACACTAAACACACAATAACATGATAAACACACACAACACACTAACACATACCCAAGGCGGCGTCGCCAACGCTTGACTTACCACGTGGGACCCCGGCGCGAAGCCCGCGGTGCCGAGCACCGGGGACCCACGCTACAGACAACCGTTCGCGGCAGCCGCCACGCGCAGAAGAGGCTGGCTCAACTCTTGCCCACTACCAAGGCCTGCCTTCCGCCAGGGGCCACCGCTGGCGCTACCACTCTACCAACAGTGGTACTCAAAGCGAACACAACGCCATCTATCGTCCGGCGGTGGTCACCACCGAAATAAAGCCTTGGGGCGAGACACGTGCGCCACGCGGCGCAGACAACTTTACAGGGGGGGTATCAGCACCCTCACATTCCCCTATCCTTAAATCAAACCATATCCCGAAATCGAAAATTAGCTACACAAGCTTTAACAAAAAAATGATATCGCACAACTATAATGTCCTTGCACCACGACACCGCCGCTGGTCGACACTGCTGCACTGTCCGGCTAGACTTCATCTCAGTACCGGCCCCGCAACAGCAACGTTGCCGTCGGCGCGACGATCCGTCGCTGGCGCCGACACGTCTTCCAGTTGCGACCAGCACTTGCGAGGGCGCCGGACTGCAGGCAGTTGCGCAGGTCCCAGGCATCTCCATCGCCCGACCTCACGACCGCATTCCTGGCCAGCGATGCTGACGATGTGCTGAACAGCCGGCCGTGGATGACATCCCTCCCGCTGAATACATCAATAACAACAACAACAAAAACTTGAAAAAAAAACAATCGAGCAGGTTCTCGGGAAGGGAGTTTCGAGCTTTTCGTCCACGTGGTACGTTGGTCAGTACTGCTAGATAATACATCGGTGGCGGCCGAGACGCCCATTAAAATAAAACAAATATCACTTTTCCGAACTCGTGCTCACAAGAAAAAAAAGTGAGGGAAGCAGAGCGCAACACATCAACGCCATGATCCACCTAGTTGTGCCACGTGCGACAGGCGGCTGCACAGAGCCTTAGGCCTAATGAGTCGCTCGGCAACAACCGGCATCCACCCAGCACCCAGCCTAGGCGCAGAAGAGGCAGCCGCGAGGAGACGTCCACTCTGTGAGGTGGCCCTATCGCTCGCCGCACACAGCAGCTTACCGAGCGATTGGCGTCCACCGCCCCGGGCAGTGTCACGACGCCTCGGCGTCGAGCCGCAATACCAGACAGCAATGACGCCCGGCTCCCTGAGCCCGAAGATATATAAAAAGCTATTTACAGAAAATCGGACCACCCACGAGGCTTCCGTACTCACTCGTTTCGGGCCTTGCCTACAAACCACATGCTCTAGGCCTTGCTCACCCCAGAATGCAGACCACATGGCTCTCGTCCTAATTCAACAACGTTTTTGAAAACTAACAACAACAGAAAATAACAACAGTTGCGAGCAAAAAAAAATAAATAGAAAGTCAACCTGCCGACAAATTCAAACACGTTACAAAACCAATCTCCTCGCTTCTCAACAAAGTACACCACCGACGCTAGCAAAGAAGTCCCCCTTAGGCCTACTCTACTCCGGCTCTAACAAAATCCCTGTATTGAACCGCAAAAACTCTCATCCGATACTCCAAGAGCCCCACGTTGGGCGCCAGTGTCGGGTCTCGGCGAGGCGAACGAGCGCATCGCCACGCCACGCTCTTGGAGTGAACGGACACAGCAGACGCGGTCGGTACAAAGCACACAACATACATACATTTATTAACTAATTTAGACGACGATATCGTCCGCCGAATGATACATCAATTTTAACTAACACGCCACCATACAAACAACATAACGCAGTGACACACTAAACACACAATAACACGATAAACACACACAACACACTAACACATACCCAAGGCGTCGTCGCCAACGCTTGACTTACCACGTAAGACCCCGGCGTGAAGCCCGCGGTGCCGAGCACGGGGGACCCACGCTACAGACAACCGTTCGCGGCAGCCGCCACGCGCAGAAGAGGCTCGCTCAACCCTTGCCAACCACCAAGGCCTGCTTTCCGCCAGGGGCCACCGCCGGCGCTACCACTCTACCAACAGTGGTACTCAAAGCGAACACAATGCCATCTATCGTCTGGCGGTGGTCACCACCGAAATAAAGCCTTGGGGCGAGACACGTGCACCATGCGGGGCAGACAACTTTACAGGGGGAGTATCAGCACCCTCACAGAATATAAACCTTTTTTTCTGGTAACTTGCTCCAAAAATTGCTTCAAATCATGTGTGTGCCCCTGTACGGGGTGGGAGGGGGGGGGGGAGGGCCTTATGTTTGCTTGCTGCTCAGACAATACTTTGTGAATGAGGCAATTGTTTGACGTGAGTGCATGCCATGCACCACTGTAACATTTAGCTTGCAGGCAATTGTAAATATTACAAAAGGTCTTGGTTGTGTTCTTCTCTAGCACCTCCTCAAGAACGACCAGCAGCACCTCCCAGGGGTCAAGCATGGGAAACACTTCTGCTGTACGCTTTGAACCTGTCTCGTCTTAATGTTCACATGAACATGGGCAATGTCATGGGCAATACCTCGTGAGTATAAGGCCTGGTCTTCTGGCCCCTGGTGTGCTTCTGAATCTTAGTGCATGAATGTCTTTGCATTAACCCTTTGAGTGTTCTTGCCATCCATGAACGGCAGTGATTTTATGTCCTCAGATGTTGCCATCTCCTAAGAAATGTTGGAAATGATTGTGTTGCCTTCTTGTGGAGATTAACAAAACCGATTTCTAGCGTCAGCACTTCGCATTGTCAGTGGTGACATCGACAAGCTATGCCCTTTCGTGGTTTCGGTTTTGCCTCATGGTTGCAAGAGACGTGCGCGAAACTTGATTCTTGTCTTTATTGGCACTCTGTTGAAGGTGAGATGGCAGTTTATTTACGTCGTTATCAATAGTGCTCTTAGCTTATTGTCACTGACACTCATCAAATATTCTCATTCTCCTTCATTGCCAAGTTTTCTCTGCCCCAGGCCGCCACACGCAAACCCACGTCTGACTCAACTCATCCATGTAAGAAAGACTGCATTTTATTTGAGCAGGCTGTGACAAGGTGCTGTGCGCAGGTGTTTCGGGGAATGTCACACTCTGAAATACAGCTTACTAAAGCATGTTGTTGGGCTAGTTGGTTCATACTGAAAAGATATTAAGGATGCAACTCAGATAGACAAAAAAGGGGGGGTAAACAAGAGAGGGTGTCTTATTACTTGCAAAGAAATTTATATGGAAAAAAAGCACATTTTTATATGCTGTGGGGCCTCGATTTGGCGAACGAGTGCCACGCTCTTAGAGTGAACGGACACAGTGGACACTGTCGGTACAAATCAAACATACACATACATTTATTTAGCTAATTTATAACGATGATATCGTCCGCCAAATCGATACATCAATCGTAAATTACACGCTAGGACATCCGTACACAATATTTTCATACACTCCATTACAAACACAATAAGACGTCAAACACAATAACACACTCAAGGCGTCGTTGCCAAAGCTTGACTTACCACAAGGGCGCCCGACGTGCAGGCCCGCAGTGCCACACGCCAAGGACACACGCTAGAGACAACCGCTCGTGGCAACCGCCATGCGCAGAAGAGATTCGCTCAACTCTCGCCAGCCACCAAGACTTGCTTTCTGCCAGGAGTCACCGCCGGTGCTACAGGGTGATGGTGATGACAATAGGGGTGGTCAACTCTCGCGAACACAACACCACCTACCGCCCGGCGGTTGTAACTCGAAATGTGGCTTTTGGGCGAGACACATGTGTCGCGCAGCGCAAACAACTTTACAGGGGGTGTCAGCACCCTCACAATGCATGCAGACACAGGCGCAATGTAAGGGTGCTGACATGGCTTGTAAAGTTGTTTGCACTGCGTACTGCACGTCTTGCGCAAAAGCTGTATTTCGGGGTCGAAACTATTGAGCGTTAGGCGGCATTGTGTGCGCGGGCGTAGATTACTATCATCATCATGGTTAAATTAGCACCAGTAGTGGGGGTAGCGCCGTCTGCTAAGAATCAGCGTGGTGAGTCAAGCGTTGGTGATGCCGACTTTTGTGTGTTTTTGTGTTTTTTATGTTGTTAAGTGCTGTGTAATTTTGTGTAAGGATGCCTTAGCGTGTTGTTCTTGATGGATGTATAATGATTCGGCAAACAATATTGTAACGGGGAGTATTCACTAGATTGATGCCCGTTGGGCTAACACTGCACACAGTATGCAAGGATGCAGGACAACAGGGCCGTCCAGACACGGCCCCACAACACCATCGTCCTCTTCATTCTTTCTGCGTCATTTCCGCACCCGTGCCTGAGGTACTTTTCTATAACCGTGACATTACCCCGTGCGGCAAACCGCTGTCCTGGTGCCTGCTGTTATTAGACGGACGGGTCACTGTGATAGGGTTTCAGGCGAGACACATGCATAATGTCACTTCTGGATGTAACAGTGCAGTTCACAGTAGAAGAAATTTCATAGGTGACAGGTGTGACTTGGCGCAGAACTCGGTAAGGCCCAACGTATTGCGATAAAAGTTTCTTGCAGAGGCCGACACGACGGGATGGCAGCCACAGTAGCACGAGAGAGACCGGAGAAAAATCGACATCCCTATGTCAGCTGTCGTAGAGCGACTTTTGTGCTCTCCGGGACAATGAGAACCTGGCGCGGGCTACTGTACGTGCGATCAGAGCAAGGGAGATGGCATATTGTGCGTACGAAGTGGTAGATGGGAAGTCATGCGCAAGCAGGGTTTCGAAAGGTAGTAAGGGATCACAGCCAAAGAGAAGATAAAATGGTGTGTAGCTGGCAATTTCATGACGTGACGAGTTGTAGGCGAAGGTTAGGAACGGAAGGGCAGTGTCCCAATTGTTATGGTCGTCAGAAACATACATAGCAAGCATGTCCATCAGTGTGGGGTTGAGGCATTCAGTAAGTCCGTTAGTCTGAGGATGGTAAGAAATCGTAAGGTTGTGCCGTGTTGCACAGGATCGAAGGAGGTCGTCAACCACACGAGACAGCAAGCAGCAGCCACGGTCCGTGAGTCGGTGCGAAGGAGCGCCATGCTGAAGGATGATGTCACAGAGGAGGAAATCTGCGACGTCCGATGCGCAGCTGGTCGGTAGTGCTCGAGTAACTGCATGCCGAGTGGCATAATCCGTAGCTACTGTTGTCTATATGTTTCCCGTTGCCGATATTGGGAAGGGACCTAACAAATCTAAACCCACACGATGAAACGACTCATCTGGAACTTCACTAGGTTGAAGGTAACCGGCAAGGAGAGACGTAGGCTTCTTCCGACGCTGGCTCAGGTCACACGCTGCAATGTAGGGGTGAATGGAACGATAAAGGTCTTTCCAGAATGCCCGTCGGCAGACGCGGTCATAGGTTCTGGAGACACCTAAATGTCCGGCAGTTGGGGCGTTGTGAAGTTCGTGCAAGATGTTGTGGTGTACATGTATCCCGAAGGAGTACGGCCACCAGCGTGGGTCCGGTCTTAGCGAGCCGCAGGGCACGCGTTAACCGTCGCCGTGGCGAGAACACGATACTGCTCAAAGTCACAACACTTTATTGTGGCAACACCAAACGCAGTACAGCCCGTTGCAAAAAGGCGCGGCGGGAAAGCAAGTAGGCTTATCCACGCCACGGGCACAAGGTACTACACAGGGTGCCACGAGCACGTTTCCGCGGTAAAGGTGATCCACGGAGACACCGGGACCAAGGCCCGGTTGCTCGAGCGAGGGCAAAGGCGCTCGCGTTGGCTTCGGAGGGAGATGGGTCGGCGTAGCTAGGCCACGCACTAGGACACCGTACCGCTCTTCGGCCGTGAGTACGCAGTGGGGCAACAAAAGGTGAGCGTTCGCCTCGGGCGCTAGGCGCCGTCAGCGAAGTCCGACGAGCGACGGGAGTCGACGGACGGAAAAGATTGCGTGGCTCACCATTTGCTGTCCCGGAGAGTACTGTCTGCCCCTGACGCAGCGCGCGAGTATGCAACATCAAAATCAGGCACTCTACATGACAGTCGCATGATTTCAACGCACGTGAAGCAGCGCGCGTGGAGCCTCTCGGGAGGCTCCACGCGCGGCGCCACAGTCAACATCCACTACCGGGTGAGGGAGTTAAACGTCACTCCGCTCTCTCAGCGCGGCAGACAGCAAAGAAGGGCAGACATGTCGAGACGTTAGAACGGCAAAAAAGGCAGCAAAGCCTGCACAAAGGCAGCGGGCTAGCCTCAATTCCCACATTCCCCTCTCCTAAATTTGCCCTTACCGGTCCGCAAAAAGGCAGCCGGACGTCACCCATGCAGTTAAAATGACACTGCTATGAGCGACAGCTAACCTCAGTCCAGCCCTGCTACTGCTGCTAAAAAAAATGATAACAGAGGAGAAACAAAAACATAAATAACAAAACAAACACATGACACTATAAAAATAACTGCGGAAGGGAGCACAGAAAAGTGGGAAAAGTGTTCGTGGTGCTGAAGCAGGATAGCGTCCACTGGGCGGAGGGGCGGAAGGGCTTGACAGTGTCCGCTGGCTGCGATGGCCGAGTGCGAGGTCAGAGGTACAGGAGGGGGCTCACTGATGGCTCGTCGCTGCTCTTAGTAAGCCGCGAGTCCGACGAACGCCGCTTCGGTTGTTGTTCGGAGGCCCCGCACTTCTGGCTCGATGACGTAGCTGGGACGTTGCGCGAAGCCGGGCCTCTCCATTGTCAGGGAGGCCGAACCAGAATTGGCTGTGAGGCACCCTGGCGTGGGCCGGCAGCATATAGCTGCTTTCAGCTGGCCTCGCACAGGAGCCATGGTGGGAAAGGCAGCAGGGCTTCTTCGGCGACAGCTGAGAGCAGAGCACAGCTAGACGGTCTGACGTCAGTGAGTCAATGCCCCCCAAGCACTTCCAGTGTCCGCGTCGATGGGGGGAAGCCATGACGCACTCTTCGCGGGCTCGCACTGAAGCGTCATGCACTTACACAGGCACAGAAGCACGCACACCCACACCGCCGACGGCTGCGCGAGCGTAGGCGCAAAGCGTCCTTCATCTCTCTCTCCCAACAAGCACCGACACTCAAGGTCACACACAGCTCCCTTCGTGGTGTGGGGTCTCGGCGAGGCGAACGCGCGCACCGCCACGCCACGCTCTCGGAGTGAACGGACACAGTGTACACGGTCGGTACAAGCACACAACATACATACATTTATTAACTAATTTAGACGACGATATCGTCCGCCGAATGATACAACAATTTCAATTAACACTAAACCATACAAACAACGTAATGCCAGGACACACTAAACACACAATAACATGATAAACACACACTAACACACCCAACACACTAGCACATACCCAAGGCGGCGTCGCCAACACCTGACTTTACACGTGGGACCCCGGCGCGAAGCCCGCGGTGCCGAGCACCGGGGACCCGCGCTACAGACAACCGTTCGCGGCAGCCGCCACGCGCAGAAGAGGCTCGCTCAACGCTCGCCCACCACCAAGGCCCGCCTTCCGCCAGGGGCCACCACCGGCGCTACCACTCTACC